CGCTTGGCTGTATGCACTCGACGCATACGATGAGCCTCGAAGTACTCGCGGGTGTTCTCCCACTGACAGATCGTTTCGCGGAACTGTCCTTCCGGTTTCTTATCCGTTGTGAAGTAATGAACCCATTGGTAATAGAAAATTTTGAGAAGCTGCTCGACAGAAATCCTCAAACAAGATTCATGAGTCTCTATTACGAGTACATGACGCTGGAGATTGGCCCTTCTTCATTCAATTCCTCTCGTGTTTGCCTCCAAGACTTTTATAGTTCCTCTGTAAATTTTGATCTGACCATGTTGCAAGAAATCCGTGGAATACCAGATCACCATCGGTCGATGGTTGTTCCCTTAATTTTTGCAAACAAGTACCACCATGTTAGTAACAATAAGAGTTTTTTCACAGATGGGTCAACTATAAACGCTTCCACTGGATTTGGAGTATTCAACGAATTTCATAGCGCCTCATATCAACTGCAAAAACCCTGTTTCGTATACGTTGCGGAACTAGCAGCCATATTTTACGCAGTAGAGCAAATTGCCTCACTACCATCTGATCACTATTTTATTTTTACTGATAGCCTTAGCTCGTTGGAGGCTATTCGATCAATGAGGCCGATGAAGCACTCCTCGTATTTCCTGACCGAAATCCGAGCTAAATTGAGTACTTTATCTAACTGCTCCTATACTATCACCTTAGTTTGGGTCCCATCTCATTGCTCAATTCCGGGTAATGAGAAAGCGGACTCGCTAGCTAAGGTGGGCGCTATGGAAGGCGATATTTTTGATCGACAAATCGCCTTTGCGGAATTATTTTCAATTACCCGTCAGCACGTCCTCACCAACTGGCAACAAAAATGGAATGAGAGTGATCTGGGAAGATGGTTACATTCTATTCTCCCACAGGTGTCGAACAAGCCATGGTTCAAAGGATTGGACATGAGCCGTGACTTTATACGTGTCATGTCAAGGCTCATGTCCAATCACTACTCGTTAGACTCGCATTTCTTCCGAATCGGGCTCGCAGGCAGCAATTTGTGCGCATGTGGTAGTGGCTATCACGATATCGACCACGTACTTTGGTCATGCACCCTACATTGTGTTGCTAGATCCGAGTTATCCGCATCCCTCAGGGCCCGAGGAAAACAACCTATGCGGCCCGTTAGAGACATCTTGGCGAGCCGAGATCTCGATTATTTTAATTTAATTTATGTGTTTTTAAAACGGATCGATCTGAGGATTTAGTAGTTAGTGTCATCTTGTGTTCTCTCAAGTTGCTAGGTCTCCATCGGTGTACCCCCATGTTTGTTTTTTTCTCCAGTATGTCGCTTAGTTCTAGATCAAGAGCACATTGCTCTAAAAAACATTGTGTTCTCAATCCCTACCCTGCCACCCGTTTGTTACAATTTGTTACCCCTAACCTCGAGAAAGCCGCGAGTAATCGGCCCCCGCTTTACTAACGTTAGTTTTAAGTAATTTTGTACCCAAACGATGAATATCGGCTCCGCAAAGCTACGGCAAATGAGCCTGGAAAAATAAACGCATTATAATAAAAAAAAAAAAAAAATTCTAAGAAGAAGCTCTGACAAGAATCCAAAATTAATTCTGAGATTAACCCTTCCCCGCCAATACATTTTAAAAACCAGTATCTCTGGAGTGTCTTGAGATATTGACCTAGATTTTCTTTCCGATAATAGGAGAACTATAGTACATACTATGTTACACAATAGTTTTACAAAATTAGGTTGTAATTTCAGAAAGTTATAGCACACAATGTCACAAAGGCATGGTACTTCAGAGTAACCATGGGTTATGTTAAGGAAAGAGTTAAGTCCTGAGGAATCTTAGAAGAATTCTGGCGCAACATATTAAAAGGACCTATCAATTTTTGTTCACGCGAGAATTACGAGCTGTGAGGAGACATCAAGGAGAATTCCTAGATGATTCTGAGGAGAATGTTATGGGGATTGTGAGGAGAATAGGAGGTGAATTTAATGAAGAATATCAAAAGAAATATAAGCAGAATTTAAAGAGTTTTCTGAATGAAGCGCTTTTTGAGTTTGTTGATTTATTTCCTTTTAATTCCGTTATAATTGCTTATCTTTTGCCAAGTACTCAATACCACTGATGAAATCTTCAAGTAGTGGACGAAATACGCGTATCTGTCAACAGATAAGCAATTATATCGGAATTAAAAGGAAATAAATCAACAAACTCAAAAAGTTTTTCATGAAGGGATTCCGTTAAGAGGTTCGACAAAATTAAAAGATTGAGTTTTCTGAAGATAATTTCAAAGGAATACTAAATGAGATTCAGAAGAGAACTTCAAGGAAGGTCCGGGAAAAATACCAAAGGAATCGTGCTCTGAGTTTGATAAAAAAAATGCTGGAGAAATTAAATGAAATTCTTAAGAAAATTCAGCACAACATTCCAAGATATTCTGAGCAGAATTCAAAACGATTGCTGAGAAGAGTTTTACTTTTTCTTTTACTTAAGGGAGAAGAGTTTTGCGTAAGCTCAAATAAAAATGTTGAAAAGAATTTCAAAGATTTAAGATAATTAAGAGCTAAGCAATTTTTCAGCTGAAGAAGCATATTTTTGCTTGAATAAGCTCAAGCTCTTACTCAACATTCAATGCTTGTTGGAATATGTTAAGGCCCCAGTCTGTCATTGCGCGGAGCGGCAGCGGCAGCGGAAAAGCCCGATCTGAGTAAGCCTACTTGTCGGATTGAAAAATAGTTAGGATCAAATCGACTTCGATTAGGCATCCTTATGTCATTTGTGACAACTGTTAAACTTTCCGTTTCCGTCCCCCTTCCGCCTACATCGCGTTTAGACATTTAAGCTTTATTGGTTTTCCCGATTTTCTCGTCGAATTCCCGGCTCATTCCCGGTTTCTCGTGTACTTTTCAAATTTCCGGATATTTCCCGGTTATCCCGGTTTGCTGACCACCCTGAGATGAGGAAGCCGTGGTAGCCAGGCCGAGGTTACCAGGGGTAATTTTTTCAACAATTGAAAAATTATATGACCTTCTCAATTGAGACAATGCTGCAGACAATTTACAATGAGTTTGAAGCGACCTTTTAGAACAAATCACCAGACGGACTAAAACAAACCTATTTTTAAACTTTAAACTATTAAAAATTTAAGTTTAATATTTGCCTAACACAAGGTGGTAACTGAATTTCCATTTCAAATTTCATGTTTTCCCGCTTTTCCTGAACAATGATTCGAAAATTTCCCGGATTTATAAACCATATTGGGAGGGTTGTGGTCTTTGGGTACCACAACCACGTTGTTCGCATCGTACCACTCGATTGCCTTTTTCCCATAGTGGCAGCTCGCCAAGTCCGGCCAGAACAGCATTAACATCTATTATGTTGCTTTAGGAATGGTAGCAGCCGCTGTTTCAGGCACTCCTGGACGTAGATCTCTTGATTGATGGTTCTCGTAGTAATGAAAATGCCGCTTTTTAGACCACACGTGCATATGGCCTGCCAGACGAGATATTTTTTCGGGAACTTCGATAGTTTGATGATTTTGAAAATATCAGCCACCACCCCTTTTCCTGATGCGGTATAAAACTCCTGTCCCAGAAGCTGCTTGAAATCTGCCTTCACATAAGTTTCGTCGTCCATGACGACACAGTCGAACTTTGTGAGCAGATTCGTATACAGCTTTCGGGACCGCTGCTTTGCCGACGTGTTTTGTTTGTAATCTCGGTTCACCTTCTTAAACGTCGACAACCCGGCTCGTTTCTTGGCCCGCTGCACAGTAGTATGAGAGACATTGAGCTTGCCAGTGACGTCCCGGATGGAGAGGTTAGGATTCCGCTTATATTTCACCGCCACCTTCTTCGTCGTCGCTGCCACGTCCGGATTACGGTTGCCGCAGCTTCCAGGCTTCCTGGCGGTCGACAGACGCTCCCCGAACACTTTTAAAACGTTTGTTACGGTCGATTTGGCCACATCCAGAAATTTTGCCAACTTGGCGTGTGAGAACGTCGGATACTCTTGTTTCAGGTCGAACAAAATGATTAATTTTGATCTGCTTAAATTTATAAACGATGACGATGGATTTATTAAAACATGTGAAATTCAGAAATTATTGCAACAAGATTATTTTCCTGGTGGCTTTTCCAAATTCCCGACATTTTCCCGGTTTTCCTGGATCACTTGCCACCCTGTTAAAAACCTAAAGACACGCACTTCAAAGTACATTCTTAGCAGAACCAGGAAATAGTTTAGTAGTTCTTTTCATTCTAGATTCTAGACCGAAAAAAAACAATTAGAAACAGGGTTGCTACGACTCACTTCGCTATTAAAAATGTTTTTGGTTGCCGAAAACAGTCAATGGGTGCCGAAGCCACCATTTACCCTAGATGAACTAGCCTATGGCTAAAAATCTCTTAAATAAAGATTTAAAAAAAACAAAAAAAAAATCATTTACCCTATTTTAATGTATAATTTTGGACCAGTTTCTTATTTAGCAAGTTTTGATTCATAATTTATTATCATCGTTGAATATTAACCACCCGTCCATACAAATGTCGACCATTTATGAAATTAATCGGTCACAGATCAAGCGCACCACTTAAGAGCAAATATCAATTGATCTTGACAGCGAAACACCCGATCAAGGTCGCGCCTTCCTTCTTTCGATCGCATATGACCGCAACAAACAATATATACCTATCACTGAGCGAATAAGATCCAATCGCCCACTCCCGTAAAGCCGATATGTTCTTAGCACTTCATTTAATATCTTTTCCCTACGCAGCATTCGATAGAAAGTATCTTGGTGCACACTAATCCAGTTCAATAAATGTTTTTGATCCGACTTTTTTTTTTCCAATCTCACGCCTCTTACAACAGCTCCCACGACTTATTATTGCCAAAGGTTTTGGTTACGTGCACGAGTGTGCCGCGCAAACGCGCCAAATTGAGTCCATAAATTGTTACTAATTGCAATCTTTTCCCTCCTTTCTTTGCCACTTTTCGTTACAGATTTACGGTAGCAGTACGGAAGGCCCCCTCATCAACAGTGGACAATCGACTCAACTATCAACGAAAGTACGACCGAACCATCTTCGGTTACAACCGGTTGGAGCAGTTCGTTCTACCACCGTTGCAAATTTGACCGCCACCCATCAGCAATAAAAGACTTAACATGGAATGTATGCTAGAATAAAATCAGAAAGCGTTACGAGTTTCACTTACCGAAAGAGATTATCCGAAATCAGCAGGGTTTCGATGGCTTGCGCTTCAGCTGCCTTAATCACGTGCTTCTTGCCGTAGAATGCTTTGGCCGGTTCGCACTGGAGCGTGCCGTAGAACTGCTCGAGGGCTTTGACCTCGCCGGCTGCCTTGGTGTCGGACATCTTGGCCACCACAGCCGGGTCCTGTAGGATTTCTGCCAAGTAGTCCAACCGTTAGAAAGTAGGTTTGTTTATTTTTCAAATGGTCGAAGTTACCTTTCAACGAGTGCTTGAAACCGGAGGATGAATGAATCAGCATGAATTTACCTTTGTTCTCTAGTAGCACCTGGAATGGGACAGATTTTGGAATTGTGCAATTAGTAACATCGTTTTATTAGTGAAAATACTTCTTATCTCAAACTCAAATTTAAAACATTTTTCATTTGTACGACTTACACGTTAAAACAAGAAGTTCTAACTACAGTTGTTAACGGTCAGTTTGGTCAGTGACGTTTGACGAAAACCACTAAAAAGAATCCTATCGCATCTTTTAACTTTACTTCTCTTTTTTTTTAATCATGCATGGACAATAGACTGGTGCAAAATTTGACATGTTCAGACGGTTCTAAATTGGGTTCTGATCAGCCTTCCAAAATTTGAAGTTATTTAGTAAGAAACTGATTAGGCACAAACCATTTGATATTTATATAGAAATTACTATGGGAATCCAACTTTTTTGTTAGTATACATCTATCAATTCACCATTTTCTCTGTTATAGAAAATGATAACTGCACTTATAGGTTTTTGTTAAAAAGCACTTTTCGATAAAAAATGAAAGGAACAAAAGTTATTGATGATTCAAGTCGCTGGTGATGCTTGGTCATGCCATAAGATTATCAATCTTTTAAACAATTAAACAAGTATTTAATATGACGTTTGACTGAAAAACGGTCTTGTGCAAAGTTGTAGCTGAGAAAGAATTCCCATAAAAATAGTTATAGAACTTTTTGACAGTTGACAGTTTGTTTTTCCCATAGTAATTTCCATATAAACATGAGATGGTTTGTGCCTAGCTAGTTTCTTAAAAAATGAGTTCTAATGATGGGAGGCTAATCAGGATCAGATTTAAAACCGTTTGAGTACTGCAAAGCGAAAATTTCAAATTTTGAATTATTCTGAACAAACAGCAACAGGACAGGGTTCCATTAATTTCCTCGACTCCTTGTGCACTAACTAAGCTGATTCTCTACATCACCCTCCTCTAATTGTCACTGTTGAGGACAAACTCGTGCGTGATTTCGACGATTATCCTGCTACGGTTTCTTATGACTTCCGTGAAGCTGATCACTGTAGCATCATAGATGTATTGTCTAGCATGGTATGGGAGAACATCCTTGATCCAGATGACGTTGAGGCTGCAGCGCAAACCTTTTTACATGTCTTGGCATATGTCATTGACAGACACGTCCCGAAAAGAACTCACCACAAAGTGTCTCACCCTCCCTGGCAGACGACAGAGCTACGTAGGTTAAAGTCAACCAAGAGAGCAGCATTGAGAAGATTTACGAAGTATCGCACGCTTCATCTGAGACTTCATTATGTGAGGCTGAATCACATGTAACAGCGAGTCAGTCATGAATACTTTTCAAGTTTCCAACGAGGCATCCAGCGCAAGCTACACCCGAAAACCTTTTGGGTGAACGAGCAACGCAGGGAATCCGGCCTCCCATCGTCAATGGAATTCAACGGAGAAGTTGCTGCCACCGTTCAGGATATATGCCGCCTTTCTTCCGACAAGTTTGCCAGTGTATTCACTAATGAGATACTAACTGACGACCATATTAACCTGGCGGCCAGGAACGTTCCAGTAAATGATCAAACGCTGGGTGCAATTGATGTTAATGCTGAGATGATTTCCAAGGCCGTGACTCTACTCAAGTCATCCTTCAATCCTGGACCTGATGGAGTTCCAACTGTATTTTTGAAGAGACAGCTAGTTAATTTCGCTTCTTCACCTGTTCCGAATTTCTCTCTCCAGTGGCATATTTCCATCCTGCTGAAAATTTGCGCACATGTTTCCCTTCCACAAAAAGGAAGGAAACGAGCTGTGGATAACTATCGAGGAATTACATCGTTAAGTGCCACTTCGAAGCTATTCGAGCTAGTTATTATGGAACTGTTGCTGTCCCATTGCAAGCAATATTTGAGTGCTGATCAACATGGGTTTACTGTCGGCCGCTCTACAACCACCAATCTGCTGTGTCTCACTTCGTATATAACCGAAAGCATGTCGGATCGGGTTCAAACGGACGTTATTTATTCAGACCTATCCGCAGCATTCGACAAGTTGTACCATGCTATTGCGATTGCTAAACTCGGCAGGCTCGGTGTATGCGGTAATCTTCTGAGTTGGTTTCGATCATATCTTACCGGTCGCCAACTAAAGGTTGCCATAGGAGATTGCAGATCAGCTAGCTTCATCGCCGTCGTTGATGTGTGTACTGTACTTCAACGACGTGACGCTACAAGAAATCACAACGACGTGACGCTACAAGAAATCACCTACACTGAAACAAGGACCATAGTTTGGAATACTATTTTGCAGAAAACACTTATTTTCAGTATAACCACGCTTATTAAAGTTGAATCTACTATGAATTCAGTATATTTGACTATAAATGTTAACAAATTTACTATGATTCTGGCAAAACTTCTATGCTTGCTCAAAATGCATAGTAATTTTGATTGAAATAATCGTAAAATTAATTGAAATTGTTTTCTGCAAAAATCTATTGGTGACGGTATTTAATTTAAACCAGCAATATAGTATTATTTCCAATGGATTTTGTGTCAGTGTAAAGAAATAAATCAACATTAAGAATAGGGTGCACAATTCCACACCTATGTGTACGACTTCCTCACATACACAATGCAGCACCTAACTGACAGCATTTCGAGCACAGGTTATTCTGAGTTATCGACCCTAAGAGAGCTTAACGACGTGTTCGGGGTATCATCCAAACTATTTGTGGGATAGTTTACCCATCCGGGATACAGCTCGTTTATGGTATTTGTTTATAAGGGGATAGAACCAATTGGGTACTTCAAATCGTCAATCAATAACGTGTAGCCCATAAACGACTTTCAAATAACCTTCTACATTGGTCCAACAGCACCTAAAAACAATATCAAGTAATCGTCCTACTCACCTTGTTATCAGTTTTAACAGCCTGTTCAAACATGTACTGGAAAAACTGATCTTTCACAAATCCTGGCGACGCAATCAGCACGCATTTGACCACATCAAAGTTGACGTGCCGGATGATTCCCTGAATGACCGCATCGTAAAATTTCGCCAGTCCCTTCTCGTGCTGTTGAACATATCCCTTACGTTTGCGGGGGATCGACACATCGATCTTGCTGCGAACCAGCGTCATACTGGCGGTAATGAGACACACATGAGCCAGCCCGTCCTGCATGATCACGGCAGCCACGTCGGCACTCTGCGTAACGTCACACGCCATCTCAACCCGTTCCAAGGCAATTGAGTCCCACTCCCGTTTGGTAAGTGCAAACTTGCGATTCAGCTCCAAATCCAGCGTGTGGTACGCTCCCATCTAAAAAAAATCATATTTAGATATAAATGATGAATATGTCACCAAGGGTTTTGCTACATTACCCCGAATGCTATTATGCCTTCTTTTGGTGGCGTTCTGGGAAGTCACATTAGAGCTAACGGCATTCGGGGTAATTTTACACAATCACCACAAGACCACCGTTAAACTCACCTTAACGAACTGATTTTCTTCAATGTTACGACCCTTCAAGCGAAGCACCTGTGCCTGGGTATCGAAATCTATTGACTCAACGCGGATTGTGAGAGTTGTTCGTACCCGACTGCTGGACGAAGAACCAGTAGAGGTTTCATTTTGAACCTAAATGCAAAACATGATCTTAATTCTATTTCTCAACCCTAGCGCAAAGCAACCAGAATTACCTTCCGAATAGTACTGCTTCGGACTTGATCTTTTTCTGATATCAGATTGTATGCGTGCCACATGTCTTCCGGTTCCTCGGGGATCAGTACCACGCTTCTGGAAACGAAAACGGTTTAAGAAAAAAAGAACAAAAGTTTCATAATCACGGACACCTGCCGCGATAGATACTTACCCGACACCGGCCTTGTCAATGTTTTTGTGAACCAACTTCATTTTCCCCTCGTGAAAGTTGTACTATTTTGACGATGACAATAACGATTACAGCACTACGAAAATGACGGATAATCCTCTTATGGTCACACAAAACGGTACACGGTACGGTCAAGTCGGTAGTACTCGATCATGGTTTCGACAGTTTGGAGGAATTACGGAAGCATCCGAAATGTTCAGAAGGAAATTCACAACGAGCAATCGGGGCGACGAGCCACTATTCTCAACATAATCGCGAAAAGTCAAGAATCCACGTTAATGTTGACGTTATTGTTTTTCTGTTTTTTTTTTCGTGGAATGTCAAAGTCAGGGGTTCGGTTCGGGACGTCGAACTATAATGTGAAATATTTCACGGAAATGTACAGAACGTTTTTAAATGGACCTAACGAATCTCCCGTTTTGAGATGGTACGCCCTCTGTTCCATTTTTGAAACGGATTTTCTCAGCTTTTTGCCCACACAACAGATTTAAATTGCTGAAAATTAGTAAATTTTTGCTGATTTTAGACTTGATGAAAGTTCAGCAAACATTCCAGCTACTGATACTTCCACCTTCCACAAACTTACACACTTAATCTAGCTCGGTAAAATCTCCAACAGCCGATTACTTCGGCATTTACTTTTGCTGATATCTCTGCAAAATATCTGTTTGTTAGCTGATATCTCAGCAAAATGTTATTTGTTAGCTGAATCTCGGCAATTGTTTGACTGAATCTCAGCAAAATAAATTGCAGAATTACTCGGCTGTTGGAATCTCGGCGAAAAAAATTAAGTGTGTATAAAAAATAATACTGAACTCGGTTTAAACATAGAGGTAACTCTAAGACCACTGGGTCGCGAAGAAAATCATTATTATTTTTGGCTCACTCAGTACCAGAACAACGGTCCCAAGCAGTCCCAAACTATTTCACTCACCCCTGCATGTTCTGCATGAATCCACACACCCCTGATGTTATCTTCTGACAAACTTTCATAGCGAATCAAAACAAACATAGTGTAGTAATAGAATTTCAACTAGAATAGGGTACGTTAATCGTTTGCTTGGGACCAATAGGCTACTAAAGTGGTGAGCCAATTTAAAATCGTTAGTTTCGTATTGATTGTTGGTTTAAACGCTGTCCAGACTGGAGAGTTATAACAACAATCAATACGAAACTATCGATTTTAAATTGGCTCACTACTTGACTAGCCTATTGGTCCCAAGCAAATAGATTAACGTATCCCATTCTAGACGAAATTCTAGTACTGCACTATGTTTGTTTTGATTCGCTTAGAAAGTTTGACAGATAAAATGAGGGGTTCATGGATTTTCCTATGTTTCGACGGGTGCATCGATTAGCTTGGGACCGAAGATAGTACCAGAGCTGAGCCAAAAAGTTGAGCACGTTATTTCTTTACCTTCTAGTCTTAGAGTTACCTCTATGGCAATACCGTGGTAAACGGAACAGTTGACTGTGTTAAGACGGGCGGGACAAAAACTTATACTCCAGTGTGTGTTGTTCTCTGGCTCAGTCCACCATGATCCACGTTCATCCGTATCGCAGTACGTTCGGCAGGAGTAGTCTGACAATTTATTGTTTATTGTTATCCTTCCTCCAATCAACAGCGAACGATGCGTTAGATGCATAGAGATTGCTAAAGTGTGATTGTGTCAGTAATTTGTTTTCATCGGGAAAATTTTTCGCTATGAAGTTGTGGTTGCCAGAAAACTTTATTTTTCACTCAACGTTTTGACAACTACGTTGACACGCTGAAACCGACCTCTTCCGACACCCAAAAACACCGAAGAAGCACAATAAGCACGGACACAAGGTGGCAGAGTGACTTACCCCCTGGTGTACATGAATGAATTTGATTTTTCAATCCCATTTACTTCCGTCTCGATTTTTAAATCAAGATATAAACACCGACAAACCGACATGAAACTTAAACTTAACTCTTGATCGAGAATCCATAACAGCCGATTCAAATGTGCAGTGATCCCATCTGTCAAAACCATATCTAGATAAAAAAATAATTTGTCCGGAATAGATTAGACACGAACCAACTCATAAATTTTGTACGCGTGTTCGTGGCTAGGATAAATATTTTCCACGGCAGATGTCAGTTTTGTGCTTTGATCACAAATTTCTTTGTAATTTATCGGTGGTTGTCCTGCAAATTTTGCAATTGTTGAAATTTTTGTATTCGTAAATCGGTTTTAGATCTCGATTTATTTGATTTCAATAAAAACAACCTAACACAACAACTGACACCAAAGATGCATCATCGCCATATTTAATCGCACTAATTTTTTCATACTTGCAAACATTTGATATCACTTACCATCTACGTGAAATTCACATAATGTCATCGGACATGAAAAACACGTAACTTTTATCTGAATGTCTATTGACTTTTAACGAAGACAACATATCAAAATGTCTGGCAACTCTTCCATTTTCTCATAGACCGGTATAAGACAGGCACAATCGCGTCATTTGTCGCTCAAAGGTAAATGCTTCGAACGAATTTGATACCAAATATTACATCCTCAGAAGAAAGGTTGGCGTATTTGCTAATTTTTCTATGCGTTGCTTCCACCTTCGCTCAAGTGCAGCGCTACCAACAATCAATACGAAACTAACGATTTTAAATTGGCTCACTGACTAGCCAATTGGTCCCAAGCAAATCGATTAACGTACCCCATTCTAGTCGAAATTCTAGTACTACACTATGTTTGTTTTGATTCGCTATGAAAGTTTGACAGATAAAATGAGGGGTTCATGGATTTTCCTATGTTTCGAGGGGTGAATCGATTAGCTTGGGACCGAAGATAGTACCAGAGCTGAGCCAAGAAGTTGAGCACGTTTCTTCGGGACTTTCTTGTCTTAGAGTTACCTCTATGGCGCTACTGTATCTGTCGCTTGGATTCTGGAAAAGTTGCCAGTCTTCTTGATATGATGTCTTCGCTTTTAATCATGAATGACGTAGCAATGATGGATGCTGGATGTTTCAGGCTCGGTTTCAGGGGCAACCAGATTTTTTCACGTAGCATAGACGTGCATAATTTTTAGAGTGTATACTAGCAGATTTGCACAAAATATTCCCTTTTGCCAGGTGGGGCAAGATGGGTCATCTACCTAATTTATAAATTTTTGATAGCCAACATCGACAGGTTTAATGTATCCCCAATGCTGGTTTGAAAAAGCGAACCATCATTGATGTTGCATCACAAACCACATAGGTCCTATAAGAATGCATAAAAGGTATGTGTGACCGCTTATACATTTCATTTGACACATGATCTTCATTAACTTTTTGCAAGGCGTCTGCTTAGTTGACTTATACATTTTATGAATAATCAGCAATAGAAATTTACCAAAAGGTATAAGGAGATTTCTATCCGTATAACTTACATGTAACAGTAATCGAGCAAAAATGAAAACTCTCCACAATCTTCACCTACATGTGACGACCGGCAGAATCAGCTTCCATCGGTTAATAATTGTTCAAAATGCCATTTATACTTCGTCGAAAGTGGAAAATGGAAATCTAGATAGAGCTGGAATTAGGGCCTAACAGCTTTTGTAAACAATGACTTCTCTTGAAGATTTCTAGACATTCAAGGCTCGCCCACGCAAATCAACATCCTCATCGGGTAGCAAAATACTTCCCCTATCCGATGGTTGGGTTGGTCTGCAAGGGCATGCTTTGAATTCCTAGAAATCTACATCAGTAGAAGTCATTGTTTACAAAAGCTGTAACGCCCTAATTCCAGCTCTATCTAGAAATATCTGTTGTAAAAACAATAAAATTTCTGACCAAAGCACACTGCTGACATCTGGCTCCGTGTTCGCGGGGAATATTTAGCTTAGTCATGAACCCGCATGCAAAAGTTATGAATTGGTGCGTGTCTGATATATTCTGGACATATTATTTTTATCTAGATCAATAAATCCTATGGTTTTGACAGTTCGGATCACTGCACATTTAAATCGGTCGTTTACAATTTTCGGGCATAAGTCAGACTTAAGTGTCATGTAGGTTTGTCGGTGATGTTACTTCTACATTCTATATAGGATTTCGAAAGTCTTCTAGAGTGAGTTTGGAGGACTTCCACAACAGCAGATTGAATTTGTTAATGTTTTATTACAACGATACATTTAAAGATAGTAATAGAAATTAAAATAAATACGCGTCGTTACCGAACATACAACACCAGTTTCTAAAACATAATCGCAATACTCGTAAAAGAAAAACACAGTAAACCTTACAGCAAAACTCCGCTCAACTTCCACCGACGGCGTGCTCGCTACGCCCATAATCACAATCCTTCAGATAGTAGAAACTGTTCTCGTTGATCAGTTCGTGTATCGTTCGTTTCAGCCCCAGCAGCGAAGCCAGGCGGTACTTGAGCGTCACCGATTCGACCAACTCCACCAGCTCGGCAACAGCGCGTTCCATTTCCGGAGTAACGCATGGTTCCAATTGGAATGTTTTAACTAGGTTCTCAATCATTTCATCCGTCAGCGGCATTCGGTCCAGGTAGTCCTCGAGATACGCAGTCTCCCCGTTGACAATATAGTGCTGATAGAGAGCGGTGGCCCAGTTGATTTCGTAATCGTACGTCCGGGCAACGATGAGCGCTTGGGGGACGCTGCGGAAGATAGAGGGAGAATTCAGAATTGGACATTTTATTGCAATGAAAGATTTAATTAGGTACCTTAGAGCACTATTCACAAAGAACGCAAGGTTGCTTCCTTTTTCGTCTTTGATGTTTAGCACTGAATAGCACGACCGTTTATCATCATGAGGTCCGCTCTTCTCGACCAGAGCTTGATTGATCAAACAGATTTGCAATGCAATAAGCTCGGCATTGCAAGCAGTTTTCTGGGCCAGACTCATTTTGTTGTCCAGCAGATAATTTTCCGCAGCATGCATGTACGATTCCATTGCCCCATTCAGTTCCGAAACGACCAATGGAGTGCATTCCAAGCGAGGAACGGCTACCTTAGGACTTCCACTTGTCGATGCGGCAGCTTTCTCATGCGTGGACAGAACCTTAGCGATGGTGGACTTTGCTTCTGTTTCCCACATTTCAGCAATCTCTTTGTACATTAAGAAATGAAGAGCGGCCAGTCGGAAGAACTCCTTCTGTTCCGGGCAGTGTTCATTAAGGTAGGATATGATGGCAGTCTTCAGACCGTTGGTGTGCTTCTCGTCAAACTGTCCCAGCAGCGACTCGAATTGATCGTTCTTGATCAAGGTTTCGAAGCAATAGTACATTTCACGATATCGTCCGATGCCTACGAGAAGTTTGACGATCAGATTCCACGATTTGGCAGCAGTGAGAATCGAGTTCAGCGCTTTGCAGTGTTGTAGAACTTCGACAATCCCCTCGACGGAGCATTCGTGCACGAAGCAATCGTGAGCCTTGACTAACAGCGCCACGATGATGGTGTTTTGTTTTTTAAGCGACAGGACCTGACCCTTGAAGATCGTTTTTAGATTTTCCAACATTTCCCGATCGTCCTGCCCAGCAGTTGAATCCTCCAAAGCTGATTTTCGTTCTGGGGATTTCTCCAACCGTTTATACTGCTTGATGGCATCGCAATATTTTAGTAGGTAATTTCCAAGCATGGTCGTGTTGGGGGCCAGTTCCAAGAACAAATGGAAATCTTGATCGATGTTGTAATCCCACAGGAGTTCTTCAATGGGTTTCGTACTAACGCCCGGTGATCCCTGTTGCAGTAGGTAGAATTTAGAACTAACCACAGCCGTGGCGATTTCTCTGGACAGGAAGTCCGACACAACTTCGTCCACCAGCTGGTGGGATGTCATGATATCACTAACGACCTCCAGTTTATGGATGCAGTCCTCTTGGATGACCTCAGCAAGAAAACCAACCGGATCACGAATCTTGAGGATCTCGTTGTATTCTTTGTCCAGGTACATCGCTATACGGTAGGTTAGAACGATTCGTTTGGCGAGTTCCTGACCGTACTTGATCTGAACGCCGAGACCCTGTAGAAGAAAGTTACATATATATTAGATTTTCAGGAAAGACATTGCAAAAATTCAAAACTTACATTGATTGCTTCATAGATGTCTTGTTTTTCTCGGGACGGCAGCTCCTCGAACTCTGAAGCTCCCGCGCTCGTATCGGATGAATCGTTCGCGTTACCCCTCATCGGAGAACTGATCCACGAGTTGTTGGTCGAGCTTTGACTGACCCGGCTGGAGCGTAGCGTTCTCCGTTGGAACCGATTCGAGGCCCGTTTGTAATCCTCGTTGAGCATGAGACGTTCCTCTTTGCTTAGATTATACAAACTAACCAAGGACTCGGCCAGCGCCATGCAGAATACGATGAAGTGAAGATCGATTGGTCGTTGGTCGAAGATAGCTTGGTAACGGAGCGCCTGAACGATATCCCCTTTCTCCAGCAGACGGTTGATAAGGTTGTCCAGCTGAGCAACCTCGTCCTGGTCCGCTATCTTAAGATTCGAAATGGTAAGATCATTGATCCCGGCAACTTCTTTCAGCTCTAGGAATGTATGATAGAGAATTCCACGATCGCGAGTGAAAGCGGTGTTGTAGAAATGCGAGTGATACAACTCCAACGTGGACGGATCCTGCGAGCACCTTACGTAGGATAACACCAACTCGTACTCCAAACGATCGCGATCGAATACCTCGCTCGGATACAAACCCCTTTCGTTGATCAAGTCCAACGTTTTCTTCAAAAGGATATATCTCTTCGGATCACTCTGCTCCAACCGGTTGGCAATGTGGATGTAAAAGTTGAGAAGAACTTCCGGACCAAAGGCGTACCGCTCCATATCGCGTTGATACTGTTCAAAATCGCAGATTTCCTTGACGTCGAACTCATTGACCCAATGTTCGAAAATGATCGTCTCCTTCGGCAGTTCCGATAAGTCCGCTATCTCAACAGCTGCCTTGTAGAACTTTCCAGCAACCAAGTGCCCGCAGAGGTTTTCGAATTCTTTGTGAAGGTCATCAGGTTGGTCGTAGAACTTGATGAACTCAACCCGTACCTTTGAGTTGTGCATGATTTCACTGATCTTCAGCAGTGTCGTAAAGTCGACCTTATGGGTGAAGTAGTTGATATCCGAGGCGACCAAAGACTCCAGCAGCTGTATCTGATGATGGAACGATTCAAAGTTGCTATCGAGATGCAGTGTTAGCAGTTTGGCGCTGAAGTTGACCAGATCGAGTTTATCCAGCTTCAATAGTGGGCAGTATGAAGCGTTGTGCAAAAACTGCTTGAGAAGATCGGTGGTATCTTCTGAGAAGTTGGTCGCACTCGTTTCAGTTAAATATTTGACTAGAAGACTAAAGTTCGATTCCGGATAGAATATGCCGACGCTATTTTGCAGGGTCTGGACGGATCCAGTTTCAACGCAATATCCCACAAGATCATGTAGAAGTCTATCCTCCGAGAGGCTCTCCATCTTATCCTGATAGGGATACTCAGTCGAAACCATCAGCCAGGTGATCCAGCAGTACTTCCGCTTCGCATAGGCTGTCATCCCGGCCAACACGGCTAGTAGTGGCCATTTCCTAAGTACCGCTTGTTCTAATAGGTTCATAAAAGTGTTGGATGATTTTGCACCACCCAGTCCCAGAACTAATCGTTTGAAGCCATCGTAATCCAGCATATCGCTGGACAGTGCTTCCGATTTTCCACTGCGACAATTGCTGGCCTCATTTGAGCACAACAGAACCGTAGCAAATAGGTCACGATTGTACTGGCCGCACAGGAACCGTGCACCATCGTAGTGCGCTGGTTGCTGCTGATCCGCATCGAGTGACGACGTCTCGCTGATGATGGGACGCGTTTGTCGACCGGACTGGATGTCACTTTCGCTCGATATGCTCGAGTAGCTGTCCAGTGGAGCTGTGCTGCTGCTACCCTGAAATTCGAACGACAAAACGTTACGCGATTAGATTTTTTGCGATGCTAGTGGTGGGTGATCTCCCAGATTAAGATAGCTGAAGCGTAAAAAATGGGTTAGTCGAAAATTTGTTAGGGCAAGATGATAACCTCTATGCGGTGCGGTTGCCTGAAAAAACCAGACTCGCATTATCAATTGTTTTCACGAGCCACCGTCTACTTGCCGACCGAATGAAGCGTTTTCAAATAACATCATGGCATGGGAGATAGTGTGAGCCGGCAGAAGGACAATCACATGGCATTTTTTTTATGTTTTGTTAAGATCACGTGGAATTTGTAGCGAACCTTCAGGATTTTGTTTACGATGGTTTGGAAGGAAGCTTTCTTCATCATTGCATTGCTATTAGATTAAGGGCCATGCGACGCGGGAATCCTGATTAGCCTTAGGGGTTCTTGGTTCAGTCGAGGTTCTTTTTGAATTGGAAATGTTGTGTATTCCCTAGGCAGTTGGCATATGGAACCTATACGAAGTCGTGTAATGGCAGGCTCAATGGGATAAATGAAGATGGTGAGGTTTTGACAGAAGATTATAGTTGAGGGCACCAAATTTAAAACCGTATTGAGTCAGCAAGAAGAAGTATCGAATGACAAACTAAAAGGTAACAATTCTAAATTACAATGAACCTACCTTCCTTCTCCTCCGGGACGTCTTTCTCCGGAGCGACGTCGGCGATGAGCTTCGACGATGCTGCACGGTTTCCACGTAGTACTTGATAGCTCGCATAACATTCATCCCGATATTACCATCCCGGAAACCGCTGCGGCAAAGTTCCAGCACTTGTTCTTGTGGATAGTCCAGGTATTCAACGAGCAGCAAAAACCGGAACCAATTGTTGTCCCCGAGTAGTTGCCGGAGAAACTGTTCGGGAAATTTTAGCAAACTGCACCGGCACAGGGTGGTCATAGCTTCCAAATCGAGTAGCAGCTCCGGATCTTCCCAGTTCTTGGCAGCAACTACAGTCTCACATCTATCCAACAGTTCTTTAGTTGAAATCTTCAACGCATCACCCGTACGGGGAATCATACTGAGACAACGTACATAGGCACGTGTTTTGGAACTGTCCATGCCAAGCATCTCAATGAATGCGATACAATGAGCAACTAAATTGGTATCATGGTAGTGTGCAACGGCGACTTCGGCAACCGATCGCGCTGCCAGGTTGATTTGAGGAGGTGTTATTCGAGAATAGCATTTCAGTTGATCTAGGTAGAACAGGTAGAGGGCGTAGCACGAGCGATACTGTTGGATGTAATGCAGATAGTTGAGATGCACGGGTGTAGAATACTTTTCGCAAAGTACAGGATGATTGAAGTGAGGAACGTAGCCATGTTCTTTGATGATTGCTAGTTTGGTAATCTGTTCGTCCTCGTCTTCTTCATCGTCGTTTCGATTTTTGAATAAATTGCTCCGTATCGTCTCCAGGCAAGGGAGATCGTGTAAAGCTAGTAAATCTTTGGCTGAAATCGACGATACTGGGTTGAGCTTTAATCTGTTCATAAAGCTACGCAGGTGGGACAGTTTCCACAGGCGTTCATCATCGTCGGGGAATGTTACGTTGCGTGGATCCAAAAAGTATTCAAACAGAAATACAATTGGGTTCTCATCGTAAAAACTTTGCTCGTAGTTACATAAATACTCTGAAACCTTACTAGAAATCCTTAGTAGACTATCCTTACTAATACCGTTATTTTTAAGCTCGTTCAATTCCAAAAACAGCTCCACCTCTCTTCTACTATCACAGCTTTCATCCGTAGCTAACTTTCTGAGACCTTCCTCACTGATCACGCTCAAATCCAACAGCTGAAACAAACGGTTATCTACCAGGTGCTTGGTCAATCCCTCCTGGAACTGCTTCCCTTGCAACAACTCTTTATTCATTGTCAACGTTTGCGTAGTGAACAACCTTCGCAGTATCAATTGGGAATCTGTTCGTTCGTGATCTACAAACTTGCCGCAAGTCGCCAGTGCATTCAACAGCACATCATTTCGGCACATACTCCTTTGGCTGGAGAGCTGGGAAACCATGAAGTCGTTGATTTCCCACCGTTGAAACAGTTGCCTTAGGCGTTCGTTGAATCTAGGATCGTCGTAGATGTCGATCTTGATTTGAGACAATTCCTTCGAGCTTAACGTTGGGTCCTTGATCAATTCCGGTGACCAGCGAATGCATGCATTTATCTGGATCCATATTTTCACTAGGTTGTCTATGTTATTCCGCAGCAGGTAGTTCCACACGGCGTACTTGTCGAGCAGCGGAGAGATTTCCGTTTCTGGAATGATTGGCCGAAGCAAAACAAGCAAACATAAACAGATTAATAATTACTTTAAGAGACATGCTATATTTAGTATATTTGTTTCTTTCGTTGCACTGATAATGGTACAATTCAACTTCTCAATCGGCCATGCGTGTTTGCCATCTTCTGAATGAAGTAGCTCCCCGTACGCGTCAACGATCAGGTCCACTGAATTTGCTCTATGCTAACGTGAACCCTCCGACCGGTGGAAATGAGGTTACCCCCGATAATGGTAAGCAGCTGTGTTTTACTCTGTCCGGTTCGGTACGGAGCCATTGTCGCCACTCTCTGTGGGGAGGCGCCTTGACGAGGCTGTTGTAATCTATCTCGGTTGGGGCAATTATTATGAAATTTATGAGCCAATTGATTGTTCGATTGTTTGTTGTGGTGTGAAAATTAATAGCGATAATAGAAAATCCCATTTCTTCAAAGACATACAATGAAGCATGCAGTCCACTATTTATGCACTCAGGGTGGTCACTAAATTTTAATTCTGAAATTCTGGACTTTTTCCAGATTTTTCCTTTGACTATATGTTTTAGTATTACTTCTACGTGAAGTCAACGATTTACATAGTTGAAGATGCTAATTTCAAATAACAGACTGTAGTGGTAATTTTTATACGATAGATGGAGTAGATGAAAGCATAGAGTTGATAGTTCCGTTAGAGTACGGCAGTGTGAAGATTGCATATATATATTAGAATAGCGAGCTAGGACAACTTTTAAGGAAGGTACAAATCGGTTTTTTCATCTCTTCTAACCATACTCCCCCTTTTGGAGAGGGATGGTGAGGGGTGTCCCCCCGTGGTAGGGGTAAACAATAGTTGCAATTTCCAAACCTACGACTGGATGCCTTCCTTCAAATATCAACCGTAGTGCGGTAAAAAATCGGTAGAACTGTTTCAAACACGCAGTTGGTACTTGAGCGGTCGGTTTTCATCTCTTTTGCCAATGGTGGCGGGTGGGGGGGGGGGGGGGGACACCCCTCACCATCCCTCTCCAAAGGGGGAGTTTGGTAAAGAGAGATGAAAAAAACGATTTGTACCTTCCTTAAAAGTTGTCCTAGCTCGCTGTTCTAATTATCTATATACAATCTTCACACTGCCGTACTCTAACGGAACTATCAACTCTATGCTTTCATCTACTCCATCTATCGTATAAAAATTACCACTACAGTCTGTTATTTGAAATTAGCATCTTCAACAGATTTTTCCGTTTTACACCTAAAAATATTTCCCAGTTATTAATATTCGACAACTTTTTTTTCGAATATCTAAGAATACCACGAAAATATTGATTTAACATGTGAAGAGACTGCTTCTAGAAAGTTTCAAATGATCATGGAAAAATTACCTGCAGTTGTTTAGAAAGACAAAGCTAGATAATTTTGGTTTCTATTGTTTTGAGAAATGTACCAGCTAGTACATAAGTTAAAGTTCTTCAGTTTCCTTAAAATTCTCTTCGAATTTTATTTAAAAGTGTCTTGGTACTCTTCAGAATAACCTTATCAGCCTTCTCTTAACGATATTGAAATTTTCTTAAAAATTGCCTCGAAAAAAACTCTCTTTTGGAATACTGCCAGAAATTTCTTAAAGCTTTCTTCAGCATCTAGTTGGAACTCGTCTTTGAATTTCTTTGAGACTTTGCTCTGAATTTGCATAGAACTGCTTTCAGAGTTCTATTCCAATGAAATTCTTTTCAGCATTTCTTTGAAAATCTTTTGTGAATATTTCTCTCTTACCTCGTTGGAATTTTGTCTAAAATTCGCTGTATTACCTGACTTATAACGAATATACGTTTTATACGAGTACCTCGAATACAACGTGCTCGTATAAAACGTATATTCGTTATAAGTCAGGTAAACATTAGCTAGACTATCAACTGGAAACGAAAATGAAAAAGAAGCACGCTTAGAGCGAAAGGATGGCTGTGGATTTTGTCGACGTTGAAACAAAACCTCATTATGGCTTTCAATCCCTTTCAGCGATACCATAGAGGTAACTCTAAGTAACCCACTCACTATGGCGAGTATCCAATCAGACTTGATGATGGTCAGTTATTACCTGATGTATTTGTGGGAGAGCAGTCGTTCGATTCCTTGCCGCAAGCAGGACGTCGGGATCTTCTACCAAAACGCCGGTGGAATAAATTCTGATGTTGAAGAGTACCGCCTCGCTGTTGCTACGATGTAATTGTCCTGTCTGTGCGAAACGTGGCTCGATTATCGAACGCTTTCCAGTCAAATTTTCGCTAGTGACTACGAGGACTTCGTTGCGTTCGGAATCCTAACAACAGCCGTAAATCTACTGGTGGAGGTATCCTTGTAGCTGTCCGTGGCGGGTTGGAGGCTAAGGCCATCGAGAACGATTCATGGAACTATGTTGAGCATGTTTGGACAGCCATCAATCTGGGTGATCGCACACTATTTCTATGCGCTTTGTTATTCCACCTGATCGAGTCCGGACAATTAACTCATCGATACTCACTGTCGGTCAGTTTTCACAGTTATCGAAAGTGCCACTCCAGTTTATGAGATATTCATTTTTGGTGACTTCATCTGCCAGGCGTTTCGTGGAGTCCATCTCATAGCGGATTCCTGTATCCAGATCCTGATAGCTCTACATTTCACGCAGGAGCTATTAGCCTTCTCGACAACTACAGCGCAGTGGCGCTTACTCAAATTAATCATGTAGATAACGAAAATTGGATCGTAGTTTGGACCTCTGCTTCGTGAGCACACAGGACAGTGCTCCATTAATTTCCTCGGCACCTTGTGCACTAACTAAGGGAGTTCCACATCACCCTCCTCTAATTGTCACTGTTTAGGACAAACTCGTGCGTGATTTTGACGATTATCCTGCTACGGTTTCTTCTTGGGTTTCTTATGACTTCCGTAAAGCTGACCACCGTAGCATCATAGATATATTGTCTAGCGTGGTATGGAAGAACATCCTTGATCCAGATGACGGTGAGGCTGCAGCGCAAACCTTTTCACATGTCTTGGCATATGTCATTGACAGACACGTCCCGAAAAGAACTCACCACAAAGTGGTTTACCCTCCCTGGCAGACGAGAGAGCTACGTAGGTTGAAGTCAATCAAGAGAGCAGCATTGAGAAGATTTACGAAGTATCGCACGCTTCCTCTGAAACTTCATTATGTGAGGCTGAATCACATGTAACAGCGAGTCAGGCGTGAATGCTTTTCAAGTTTCCAACGAGGCATCCAGCTCAAACTTAAGCTACACCCGAAATCCTATTGGAACTACGTGAACGAGCAACGCAGGGAATCCGGCCTCCCATCGTCAATGGAATTCAACGAAAAAGTTGCTGCCACCGTTCAGGATATATGCCGCCTTTCTTCCGACAAGTTTGCCAGTGCATCCACTAATGAGATACTAACTGACGACCATATTAACCTGGCTGCCAGGAACGTTCCAGTAAATGATCAAACGCTGGGTGCAATTGATGTTAATGCTGAGATGATTTCTAAGGCCGCGACTCTGCTCAAGTCATCCTTCAATCCTGGATCTGATGGAGTTCTATCGGTATTTTTGAAGAGACATATTGCTAGCTTGTTAATTCCGCTTCTTCACCTGTTTCGAATGTCTCTCTCCAGTGGCATATTTCCATCCTGCTAGAAATTTGCGCACATGTTTCCCGTCCACAAAAAAAGGAAGAAAACGAGCTGTGGAATTACATCGTTAAGTGCCACTTCGAAGCTATTCGAGCAAGTTATTATGGAACCGTTGCTATCCCATTGCAAGCAATATTTGAGTGCTGATCAACATGGGTTTACTGTCGGCCGCTCTACAACCACCAATCTGCTGTGTCTCATTTCGTATATAACCGAAAGCATGTCGGATCGGGTCCAAACGGACGTTATTTATTCAGACCTATCCGCAGCATTCGACAAGTTGTACCATGCTATTGCGGTTGCTAAACTCGGCAGGCACGGTGTGTGCGGTAATCTTCTGAGTTGGTTTCGATCATATCTTACCGGTTGCCAACTAAAGGTTGCCATAGGAGATTGCATATCAGGTATACCCCAGGGAATCCACATGGGACCGTTGATTTGTATACTGTGCTTCAACGACGTGCATCTGGTCATCGAAGCTCCTCGGTTATCATATGCAGATGACCTCAAAATCTTCCTACGAATCCGCTCCATTGTTGACAGTCACTTTCTTCAATGTCAGCTGAATGTATTCGCTAGTTGGTGCAGTTTAAACAGAATGGTAGTGAACCCAGCCAAGTGCTCTGCTATTACGTTCTTACGAAAACAACAACCGATTTTATTTAGCTATGGCCTACTTGGCTCGACAATCGAACGCGTGAATCAGGTGAAAGACTTGGGTGTGATCTTGGATTCGCAGCTTTCATTCAAGCAACACATTGCATATGTTGTCGATAAGGCGTCAAGAACTTTAGGGTTCATTTTTAGGATAATTAAAAACCACCGATATCTACTGTCTAAAATATCTCTATTGTTCGCTTGTTCGATCGACGCTTGAGTATTGTTCAGCGGTTTGGAAGCCAAACTACATCAACGGTGCCGAGAGAATTGAATCGGTTCAACGTCACTTTCTTCGTTTTGCGTTGCCAACTTATCGACTTAGAACTTGTCCGGACTAGCAGAGCCCCAATCGTGGACGATATCCTGCAAGGAAGGACAGATTGCGAGGCAAATTGACCTGAATGTTCAACCCCGACCGCTTCGTAATAACCTTATCCTAAGACTGCCTCTACGTCGCACAAATTATGAAGCATACGGTGCGATTTGCGGACTGCAGAGAATATTTACAAGTTACTCGAGTTACTTGCAATAATTACACATGAAAAATACCATTTTATTACATTCATTATTGCGCATTTTGCACCTTACTGGACTCCGCACTTTGAAAGTGCGGGATGAAATAAGTGCGGGCCATGCGTATGACAGATAGAGTTGTCAAAATGACAGTTATGCTTATCTG